TTCTCTGCAAAGTTTTACGATATTCAATATTTGGGCTTTAATACATTGCTTAAACTTATCCCTAAACAATTTATGCACAGGGATGCTAATATAAATGGTACTTTAAAAAATTTGATTTTTATGTTGCTGACAACAGGAAATGCAACCGAATTTTTAATGATTTTATATCCCTAAACTTATTTCTAGGATTTCTAGTTTTTTAAGTTCCTTAGGATTTTTGACATGTGACTTTTTCAAATAAAGAGCTTTATTTCCTGCTTTCCAATTTATGTTTTTAAAAACTGCCTTATTGAACTGGCTAGGACCTCCAGGATAATACAGAATAAAAGTGAGGAAAAGTTGGAGATGAAGTGTGGATCAGTGATAGAGTGCTTGGCGAGCATGTGCAAGACCCTATGTTTGATTACTAGCACTACCACCATCCAAAAATTGATAAACTAATCAATCTCGCCTTGTTTTCAATATTAAGGCAAAGAATTCAGTCATTCACTATTAGGTGTAACTATAGATGTTTTATATATGCCCTCTATCAGGGTGAGAAAATTCACTCTTCTTCATTTGTTGAGTTTTATCACAAATGAGTACTGAACTTTGCCAAACACTTGTCTGTATCTGTAGAAAGGATATATAGTGTTTTCCCCCTTCATTTGGATACTTATGATAATATGGTAATTTACATTGGCTGATTTTTTAATATTAAACCATTCTTGCATTTCTGAGAAAAATCCCTTTTGATCACAGCATATCATCATTTTTATAGATTACTGGACCCTATTTCCTTGTTTTATGTTCAGGATTAAAAACAATATATTCCGGGCTGGGGCTGGGGCTCAGTGTTAGTGCACTTTTCAGGCAGGTGCGAGGCACTGGGTTGGATTCTCAAAACTGCATATAAATAAATAAAGGTCTACCAACAACTAAAAAAGAATGTTAAAAAAAAATACTGTATTCATGAAGAGAGATTTATCTGTAGTTTTCTTTTTTCTATGTCTTCATTTGAATTCAGCATGAGGCTAAATGCTGGCCTGATAAAATGAAATGGGGAATATTCTCTCAGCTTTTATTTTCTAAAAGAATTAGTAAACACAATTCTCAATAGCTAAATTATGGAATCAACCCAGGTGCCCATCAATAAATGAATGTTATTAAGAAATTGTGATACACAGAGACACACACACACACACACACACACACACACACACAGGAATTCTACTCATCCAGTAGAAAGAATGAAATTATAGCATTTGCCAGGAAATAGAAGGAAATGAGGAATATCTTGGTAAGTGAAACTAGACAAACTCAGAAACTCAAAGGTCGAATGTTTTCTCATAGGCGGAACCTAGGGTAAAATAAAGGAATAGGGGCAAGGAGGATAAGATTATATAAGGAACCAAATATAAATTAATAGACAGTGAAAGGAGTCCAATAGACTAGGGGAGGGAGCAGTGGGGGAAGGACGGGAGGGAAAAGGAAGGGAATGGGGAAGAACATGAAATGAGATCCATTTTCATGCATGTATGAATTTGTTGGGATAAACCTAACTACTAGTTATAACCATAAAGCTCTAATAAAAAATTAATTAATTAATTAATTAAAAGTTTGTTTAGAATTGTTATTATTTCTTCTT